GGGGGGGGGGAAGGGAGCCAGCCGGGAAGAGCCGCGCCTGCGCAGGGGGGGCCGAGCTCTAGGCGCCGCTCGCTCCCTTGCTCGCCTCCTGGCCAAGTTGTCCCGGGGCCGGGAAGAAGTTGGCGGCGCGGCCGGGCCGCTCGCTCGGGTCCCCGCCGGCCATGGCGTTCCGCAGGCGGGCCAAAAGTCACCCGCTCTTCAGCCAGGAGTTCCTCATCCACAACCACGCCGACATCGGATTCTGCCTAGTGCTGTGCGTGCTCATCTCGCTCATGTTCGAGGTGAGCAGCCCCCTCGGGGCGGGGGCGGTGTGTGTGTGTGTGTGGGGGGGTCCTGCCCGGTCTTGTCTGCCCCTCCTGCTCCGCGGGGTCCCTGCCGGCATGGGCGAGGGGGGGGGAAGAGCGGGCAGCGTTGCTCCCATGCCCCCCGGGAGGCTTCCCCCTGCCCTCGCCTGGCTCTTTCGCTCGCTTGTGCCTGCGCGCGCGCGCTCCTCTCTCTCCCTCCCTCCCTCCCACGCGCGCGCGGGGATGCAGGGCGCCCCCCCAAACTCGCGAGGCAAGTGGCCTTCATTCCTCTCCCCCCCCTCCGGTTCCTCTCTTCTGACGAAGCCTCCTTCCCGTTTGGATCGCTTCGCTTTCCCATTTCTCCTCCTCCCTGAACTTCCTTCCTCGTCCTGCGCCTTCATCCTGTCCGCGGCTGCAAGGCCTGCGCCGGCACTGCGCGCTCCTTTTAGGCAGCGAGCCGCCGCCAAGGCTTCACTCAGGACCTCGGGGTGGTGGTGGCGGGGCGGGCAACCCTTGACCACCTGCCAGTTAGCGAGGAAGGAGACCTGCTGCCGCATCGGCACCGGAGGGTCTTCCCAAGCAAGTAGGCAGCCAGCCGAGCGCTGAGACGGTCTGGAAGAAGCTGCTGGGGCTCAGGCACTCACATAACAAGCAGGCACAGTTTTTACATTGGCTAGACAAAGAGGGGGCAAGAGTTGCTTCCTCGGAGCCCGCCCCCCCCCTCAGGTGAGTAAGCAACAAACCTCTGCCCACCCATGTGTTGTCTCCCTCAGGGCAGCTGAGCTAGGGATGTCTGATGCTGCTGGTGTGGCTCTGCCCAAAGAAAAGGGGGTGCAGGCAATGGCTGCTGCGCTTTACACGAATCACACAGGTGACTTCAGGAAGCCGAGTGGCCAGTCACTCAGTTTGACTCTTCCTTGGTGGGCTGAGATTTCATCTGCACCTCTTCAGTTAGCGGCAGTTGCCCACAAGACCGTTGCATAATCCTTCCGCAGAGGCCAACAGTTTTTCAGCCACTGTAAAACAGAAGAGCCCCACTGAAGTTAGGGAAGCACCGCTGAACACTCTTGAGTGTGTCTCGCTTGGGGTGGCTGCCCTCAGTTTCTGGCTCATGTAAGTTTTGTCATTGTGTGGGTGCATTGCAGGTTCATCATCCCACTTGCCCAGGGTTTTGAGAGTGGTATAGAATCTCAGAAGCTTTTCAGGAGTTTCCTTATGAAATGATCAGAAATGAAGCACACATTTTGTTAGAACGTATTCAGTACCCACCACACAGTAGTGGTGGTTTTCAAAAATCAAGGAGTCTGGAACAGGTTTTCCTTAAAATTTCCTTTCCAGGTAAAATCCCCTCAGAGCAGCTTCCAGCATACAAAGCACCATGAATACTGATAAAATACCAGCTCACCAGCATAAACAATGAACTGTAAAGCTCAATATAACATTAGAACTCAATCAATCAGAGTTATGAGAGCACCAAACAATAATATAATGAAACTGAAAGTAGTAAAAAAAAAAACTAGTACAGATTAGTGTTGTACAAACTAAACAGAAATACAGTAAAACTTTTGAAAACATGTGTCTTTATAACATGCTTTTATAATGGGGACCGGTAGGACTTTACTGGGAACCGAGTTCCACAGATGGGAAGCCATCACTCAGAAGGCTGTATTCCTGGTTATCTGCCAGATTATTTGATATGGAAGGAAGAAATTTGATCAGAATAATCTCAAAGGACAAGTAGTAAGGGTGACCCTTCATGTAATTTATTCCCAGATTTATTGGTTGTTTACTGGGGGATTTATTGAGAAAAGTTGGAAAACAGGAGGATGGGTCAAAGTTGGGGTAGGAAGAAACGGCTGTCGTTCTTGGTGATCTTTATGTTGTTGATTGGTATGCTGCAGAGAATCAGTTGAACAGAGACAAAAACCAGGTCAGTCCTTGTTGCTTGGTGGTAGCTTTATGGGTATGTGTATTTTGCAATATCTGAGCATGGCTCCTTTTTTAGATTTGGTGGGTAGCACACTATGTACTAGAATTGCACATGTCTTGTCAGTTTGGGACAACGTTACTGTTGAGAATATTACTTGCATTTTTGGAATAATTTGGATGTCTCTTTTTGGCTCTGTAAGAGATTATGATCTAGCAGTTTTATTTTGGTCATCCTAAACATTTAAAGCATAAACATTTAGTTGTGTTGCTCATGAGATTGAGCAATCTTGATGAGTACTTTCTAGTAATATAGTATGCAACACAATAGCTGAACACAGTGTGTATCCCAGGAAAAGGGCATCTATACAGAGGAGAAAGGGAGACTGTATGATGGTGATCTCTATCACTAAAGTGAGAAGATAGGATTGTAGTTTTTTAAAAAAGAAACTGCCCAACAGTATGTTTCCTGTATTCTTCCCTGTCTTCTTACACATGTAAGGAAAAGTGTGAGATAATAATTTTGATCACAAACATGGTCTTTTGAGGAAATCTAACTACCCTCTTTGGAGTTGTAGGTGGTGGTAGGAAAGTACTACTTGAGAAATATACCTCAGTATATTTCAGTGAAGAAGAAAACACCCACATTAAGTTATATGTAAGTTGTCTTTTACATATGCTTTCCTTTCTGCATTCATTTTCCCTTTCTTTTCTTGGAAGTTTTACCATAGGCAACCACATTAGTCTGTTTTAAAGCATGTAACAAGTGTATGAAAAAGACATGTGGCACCTTTAAAACTAAGAGATTTATTTCAGTATGAAACTGTGAATTCCAATCCATTTCTTCAGACACATAGAATACACTATTGAGGCTGCAGGTCAGTGCAAATGGTTGTGGGGAATCAGACAGGAATGAAATGAGATGCAGAATATGACATTTGCATTATTAACACAGATTGTGGATTTCCAGTAAACCTCCTGACAATGGATAATATGGATAATGTACTAACTTACACAACTAGACTTAGCTGAAGTGACTAGCTAATGGTAAAAGTCTAAGTGCACAGGTTGGTTAGGCTCTGACCTTAAAATACATATTGAGGCAATGAGTTCTGCTCTCAAGAAAGAGTTTGTGGTGCTGAGGCCAGAGCTTGTGAGAAAAAGAAATTAAAGTTTTAGTTATACACACAATAGTTCTCATTAATTGCAAGTTGTGTGCTAAGAAGCCCTTTATTTAATTCCTTGCTTATAGACTAGAATGTGTAGGTGTATTTCCATTCTCAAATTTCTCCATGAGATTTATTTTTTCTTCAAGAGCTGATGTGGGGTCAGTAACCACAGAGAGTGGCCTAAGATACTGAAGTATTATGAATGTTGTTTCTCCACTTTGGTGCTGGGCAATATTTTGACCTTAGACAGCCTTGCTTGCTTTAGCCTGATACCTCGTCCTCCCTGTGATTTCTTCAGCCTCATCTCTCTATGATGGAGAAATCAGCCTCACATTTTTCTCAGGCTTGGTCTCCTCTCCCTTCCCACCTCTTGCCCAGTGGATTCCTGTGAACATTTTTTTTCTGCTGCCTCAGTAGGAATGTGGTCTGTCTGATTCTTGTGCAGGCCTGCCTGTTTGTGGCATACAGCTGGAGAGTTTCTTTCTGAACTCTCAACTGTCCCAAATGGTATCCTTACAACAAAATTTGCGTAGTTGTGAATGGAAGCTTTCTCTCTCTCCCTCCCCTCCCCTGCCTTGCCAGGGTTCTTTCCAAGCTCTTTCTCCATGCAGCTCTCAGCGTTTTGCCTCAGCAGCCCTGGCACTTTGCACAGAAATGCCAGGAATGCTGAGCTCCTCCTTCATCTTTCTAGCTTTCTCGTTTCCCCCTCCTCCTTCCTTTCTAGGCAAGGGAGGGTGGGCAGCACTTGCAAAACAACTTGGTCCTTCAGACTCTGGACAGACTGGAGTCTAGTTAACCCTGCCAGCAGGCTTCGGGTGTGTGTACGTGTGGTAAACACACACACACACACACACACACACACACACACAGAGAGAGAGAGAGAGAGAGAGAGAGAGAGAGAGAGAGAGAGAGACTGTATATGTGTGTGTCGATGCTTGTGGCTCAATTGAGTGTGTGATTGAGAAGTGGAGGGTTAAAGGAGCACCTTCTCCCTTACAGCTCAGTGCCACGTTTCAAAGCAAACTGAGGTGGGAAGTGGGGCGGGGGTGGGGGGTGGC